GATGCTAATAGCGGAACCCGGATCGACTTGGATCCAGTTGATAGCACTAGAGCCAATATATCCGGTGAAATATAGAGGCCTATCATGCTTCGAATTCCTGACTTGCATATCTTCTTTGGTGAAAGCGATGCAAGAAAATTTGGTGGCTGCCAGATTGCAATGCTGCACTGATGACTCTGGCTTTTCAGGAGTTGGCTTGATCTGAGTGAGGAATACTTCAGAATTAGCCAAAGCTTCTTGTAAGGCTTCTCTGGTTTCTTTTGAGAGGCGCAACAACTCGTATAGCGTAATCCTTGCTGGGATATTGGCCAGCTGAGCCATAACGTCGAAACGATATGGTGCGTTCGAGCTTTCCGGTTTATCTCGTCCGATCGGTCGGCTGAAACGAGGTTGCTTCGGAATTTGAACCTCTTTATGTTGGGGTTCTTTCTCTTTTTGCTTAGCTGGTTGTTGCGGCTTTTCGGTAGCTACTGAAGGAGTTGTAACTATCCCCAGCTCCTTTAGAGTAGTAGCATTTGGGTTAGAAGTCTCAGGATATTTATAATGATACTCATTCCCACTTCTTGTAGCGAAAACTTCTTGTTCTCCTTCAGAAAGTGGTAAAGCTGGGATCTCCTCATCATTCTTCTCAGGAATCGCTGAGGCTCCATAACAGGCATCATTCTTCTCAGGAATCGCTGAGGCTCCATAACAGGACTTCTCTTTCCCCTTGCCTTTTGACTTCTACTTCAATGTGGATGCCGTCCATTGTTCATCTTCAAGCAAATCCGGATGAACCCAAAGGATTTCGCCGTTGGGGGTTGTGTGAGATACCAGCCCCTTCTGGCGCTGTCCATGAGGGTCATCGTTGATGATTTGCATTTTTACCTTTGACACTGGCTCGGTTTGAAACCAGGACAAAGGAACTGATCCGAAGCTAATTGAGACTGCGTTTGCGCCTACTTTCTTCTCCTTTGGCTTCGGCGTCACAATACCAACATCAATTAAGGTTTGTATTTTGTCTTTCAAGACATAACACGTCTTAGTTGGATGGTGGACCCTTCTGTGATATGCACAGTATTTCGGGTCATTAATCTTCGCGGCTTCTTCTTGGTCTGTAACCGGTGGAAGCTTGATCTTGTTGTTCTCTAATAAGTATTTGAAGATGATTGGAACTTCATCATCTTTGAATGAGTATTCCTTCGGGAATCTAGGCTCAGAAGTCTTGGGCTGCCTCGGGGGCTGCTGATTCTGATTTGGCGCCAGTTGGAAGGATGACTGCTTGCGACGTTTGATGTGCATCCACAGCTGCCGTGGACCCTCTTCCTCTGCCTCGAGGATTAAAGTTCTGCTTTTGGTTATTAGCTGGTGGCAGACCTCTCTCCAGATTCTTTCTCTTGAGAAAGCGTTCAGCCTGTTCACCCCTCACTTTCAATTCCTTCCAAGTTTTAGAGGGCACCACCCCCATCACTTCTAACACATCCAGCGACAAGTTATTGTGACACGTTTGCAGAATAAATTCTTCTGTGAGTGGATCCTTACAATTCACTGCTTTGTCCCGGAATCGTTTGACAAAGACGTCGACCGATTCCCCATCTTTCTGCTTCTCATCCAATAACGTGCCAATCGATACCTTCGTGTCATCATCGAAGAAATTGGTGAGGAATAATTCTTCCATATCCTCCCAGCTAGTGATACTCCCGGGCTTAAGCCGTCGGTACCAATCGAAGGCAGGCCCGCGAAGGGTTCCTACGAATGACCGGACTATCAGGGCTTCGTTCCCGGATATTGCGCCGAGATGCGACTTGAAATAGATCAAGTGCTGAGTTGGTGAACCCCTGCCATCAAAAGGAGTAAAGTTAATCAAATTAAATTTCTGGGGATAAGGAATCAGGTCCCACTCCCTCGGGTACGGGTATGGAATGCCCGTTTTCTTCACTTCTTGAGCCGTCATTAGAGCGTTGACTTTGCTCTCAAGATCGTGCATCTTCTTGTCCTCTTCCTCGCTTTTCTTCAAGTAAATCTGTGGAGGTTGAGTGGATGACTTGGTCGGACCGCTTCCGGAGTTATCTTTATCTGGAGGAGGATCTTTAAAGATAGTCTCATCCTCTTCATTACGCCGACTGGATTCTGCTCTTTGGCTTGATTCCGGTTAGTGTTGCTGAACCTGCAAATCTCGCATCTGCTGCATGGTCAACTCCATTTCGGTTTTGAATTCAGCTCTAATTTCCTCGCGTTGTTTAGCCAACGCCTCCTGCAAGATGTGAGCCAGTTGATCTGGCGTGATTGCAAATGATTCTCTGACTCGCCCTACGCTGGATACGGTACTGTCTGAAGCTACAGCAGAACAAATGTCTGACAGTTCTTCATCTGAAGATAACCCTTCGTGCATCCTTTTGTAGTCTCGACGTCGGTTGGCTCTTCGTTGCAATCGCGACATTCTTTGAGAAAGACCCCGTTCAACTCTCCCTCCTGGAGAGAAATCAAGGTCATAGTTAACTGACTTTTGCTTTCCTTTATTGGTCATGTTGATAGTGACCTCAGGGAATTCATCTTGTCGGATTACAGGTTTCTTTTTGTTGAAACGTCTTGTTTTAGGTCTTGACGCTTCATTGGACAATCTTTGAAATACGGAGACTCTTGTTGAATTATTCTTAGAGCATCCGCATTCTGTCAACACTGCTTTAATGAGTCTCTCGCAAGCGCAATGAGACTCGTTTTCTCTGACAGCCCTCTTTCTTGAGTTATCTTTCTGATAGTACAGCTCATCATTATTGTGATTTGAGCAACCTATTTTTTGCCTTTGAACTCTGTTAGCATGCACAGGACGACTGGTCGTCGCCTCTGGGCGATCCAAAGTTAAATTCCAATGTGGGACTAAAGTTTTCCTCTTTTCCTCTACAAACCCAAGTTTTAAGTTACAACTCCAACAGTTAAAACTTTTAATTTTTTTTTGCCCTCTCAAATTTTGATAATTTCTAACTATATCATTATCTCTAATAAATCTTTTATTAACTACATATAACCTCTTATTAATTAATTATGCACCCCCTCGTATCAATATCATTGTGACTATTAATTGTTTAAAAGTAATATAATAAAATGTTCATAAAACAAGTATATACAATTATTAGTAGTCACCAATTAAATTATTATAATTATTATTTATAATTTATAATTTATAATAAAATAATTAAAATAATAGTATAAATAGAATAATATGTTACTACATACTATTGAGGGGTTATACTATAATTCAATGAGCAATAAAATAAATAAACTAAATATAATCGCATAAATAGTGTAAATATTTTAATAATATCACATAAAATTATGAATTATACTATTTATTTAGTACTATATTATTAAATAAATTAAATAAATAATTTAATATTATTTTTAGAGTATTTTCTTAAAGATTATTACATGATACCGAATAATATATACTTGGTAATGATTGAAAACTAATCTTTTTATAAAAAATATTTAATATTAATAACAATATTATTAATTGTTAATGATAGTATAATAAAATTTTATAAAATACACTACAAGAAATTACGTCTTCAACGAAGGGATTTTCCTTCGTTAAAGAGCTAAAAACTTTCGTTATTGTATGCTAACGACAGGAAAAAAATCCCTTCGTCACCCGTCGTTGAAGACTTTTTCGCTAAAGGGTCATGAAGGTTATAATACCGTCGTTATAGAGTCTATAACGATGTAACATATTATCGTCGTTCATATCTACGACAGTAATTATCACCGTTGTTACCATCAGTAATAGGGATTTTTTCCCATCGTTAACATTAGTGACGGGGATATTTTCCCGTCGTTACCATCAGTGACGGGGATTGTTTGTGTCAAAAGTCGGTTCTGTTGAGGAATTCATTATAACTTTGTTTGATTACAACAAATTCGAAAGAATAATCTTTTTATAAGACTTTTTCTACACAACAAAATAAAAATTACAACTCTTGAGAAACAAACACAAAAATCGTCTATCGATCTTTGTTTTCGTGGGACTTTGCCTGTGCCGGGAACGCTTTGGTTCGTGGACCGCCGAATCACAGATCGTGAAGGGGGTTTACTGATTTTGACTTCGTTTATCGAAGTGAGAAATTGAAACGATATCTTATCGAAGTAAGATAGTCGTTCTTCTTAAAATCAAGTCAAAGCTTAATTTCAAGGCGTTGTATGAAAACTCAAATCTGCTTTCTCTGCTCTGGAATGCTCGAAAATATGCTCGATCCTCGTCAGCAATGACCCTAGGGGGGTATTTATAGCCTCAGGGGTCTGCAACTAAAAAAACTCAACAAATGACGACATTAGTACGGCGAGACAGTGTTTACTGTCTCGCTGGGCGAGACAGTGTTTGCTGTCTCGACCCGCGAGACAGTAAATACTGTCTCGGAAACAGTAACCGCGGGCAGTTTTCGTTTTAACTGCCTTCCCACGTTTCAAACTCCGTTATTTTGGCAGTTATTCACATGATTTTCGCCCACGATGTTTCCCACGTCCCTTGGCAGTTAATGGACACGTGTAGGGCAGTTACAAAGGTAGTTTTGACTATTTCAACACTGTCTCGCCGGCGAGACAGCAAATACTGTCTCGCTGGCGAGACAGCAAATACTGTCTCGCTGGCGAGACAGCAAATACTGTCTCGCTGGCGAGACAGCAAATACTGTCTCGCTGGCGAGACGATTTTCAACATGAGATCCCTTTGAGTGATCTTCTCTATGTTTGGGATATCTATTAGCATTTTTTGACGCCTACAGGGATATTTTCCCATCGTTACCATTAGTTACGGGGATATTTTCCCGTCATTACTTAAATGATGGTTTCTCATTCCCGTTGTTGTTGTGTAATGATGGTTTTGTACGCCCGTTGTTTTTTTTTGGTAAATGAAAGATTTTATTCACAAACCAAAACTGTAAAGTTAAGTACATCAAATTACACAGATTTCATGGAATCTAAGAGCTAGAAACAATCTAAACAAAAAGATAACACGCCAGTATTTTGTTCTACAGGGAGAGAAACCGATCCCTGTCTTCATTTGGCAAAAGTGGCTTGTTGAGGATGGTTGTATACATGTCAATTTTAATGTCCCTTACAATCTGATCAGGGGGTCTGTTCTTCAAGTTGAAAATCCTCTCATTTCGCTCTTTCCAAATGTTGTAGACCACTGCTGAAAGAGCCATTCTTTTCACTCTCAATTTGAAGCCTCTCACCCTTAATCTGTTACAGTACCAATCAAGAAGCAACCTCCAATTGCATGTCCTCCAATTAAACTTGAGCTAATCCATAACCTCATTCCAAACTGTCATAGAAAAACTACATTCAAAAAATAGATGTTTATGGCTTTCAGAATCTCTTTCACATAGGGAGCAAGGGTCAGATTGGATGATCCCTCTTCTGAGCAATCTATCCTTTGTGAGCAGCCTATTTTGAATAGCTAACCACAAAGCAAAAGAGTGCTTAGGAAGACTTAAACTCTCCCAGACAGTATTCGACCAAGGAACAGATACATTGAAGTTAACTGAAGATAAAATTTTATAAAGACTAGAAAGATGAATCTTGGAGTGCTTGTAACAAGACCTGATGCATTGTATTAGATTATCAGTTCCTCCAACTAGATTTGCAGTTTTATCCCTTACTTTTAACAACTGTTTCCATAACCAAGAATCACCAGATTTAATTCTGACTTGCCAAATGTTTGAGGTTTTTAAATAGGTGCCATGAACCCACTTAATCCATAAAAGTTTTTTATTAGAATGCACATACCATAAAGTTCTCATAGCAGTAGCCAAGTTCCAAGTAGTGGCAGAATAAATTCCAAGGCCTCCTTGGATCTTCCCTGTGCAGATTTTATCCCAGGATACAAGCGGAGCTTTGAACCTATGATCAGATTTCCCCCCAAAGAAAATCCCTGCAGAGGTCATCAATTTTTTGAAAAACTTTTGAAGGCAATATATAGCAGGAAGTCCAAAAAATTTGCACTCCAAGAATGACACTTTTAATAATCTGCAGTCTGCCTGCATAGGAGAGAGCTCTGTGCTTCAACCAAACCTGAAATTGATTTAAAATTTTCTTGAACAAGGGACTGCAATCAACATAAGACAATCTTTTAGAAATTAGAGGTAATCCAAGATATTTGAATGGTAAAAACCCCTCGGGAAAACCAATAAGACTAAAATGTTATTCTTTATTATGTCATCAACTCCACCATAAAAGATGGAACACTTTGTGAGATTTGCTTCAAGCCCAGAGATAGCACCAAAATTCTTGACACACTGGTAGATTTTCATGGCAGAATTAACATCTCCCTTACTGAATAATAACAAATCATCTGCAAAGATTAGATGGGATATCTTGAGTCTTTTACATTTAGGGTGGAATTTAAAATCTTTGTCATTGTTCAGCTTGCACAATTCCCTTGATAGATATTCCATACCAATGATAAACAAATAAGGGTGGAGAGGATCTCCCTGCCTCAACCCCCTAGCTCCTTTGAAGTAACCATGATAAGAGCCATTTAGAGATATGGAGTATTTAGGAGATGAAATACAAGTCATAATCCAGTCTACAAATACTTTGGGGAATCCCAAGCCTCTAAGCACTTTATCCAAAAAATCCTAACTAATTGTGTCAAAAGCCTTCCTAATATCAATATTAAGCATGGCTCTAGGAGATAGATGTTTTCTTCCATAGTTTTTAGCTAGCTCATGAGCTAATAATATGTTGTTTAGAATTTGCCTTCCTTTTACAAAAGCACATTGAGCTTCACTGATGATAAACCCCATAACAGACTGTATTCTGTTAGCTAGGATCTTAGAGATGAACTTATAGATGCAATTATAGCATGAAATAGGTCTAAAATTAGTAGGAGTTGTAGGGCATTGTATCTTGGGGATGAGAGTAATAGTTGTTGAATTGACATTGCCCAATAGCTTACCAGACTTGAAAAAATCTTCTATAGCTTGTGTGGTTTCTTCACCTATAATGGATCATGCAGATTTGTAGAAAGAAGCATTGAAACCATCAGGACCTGGTGCCTTATCATCAGGCATGGAAAAGATTGCATTCCTGATCTCATCTTTTGTAACTGGCTTTGATAAATCCCTAGCTTGAAGATCATTAAGACATGGGCCATTTTTTATTATATCAATAACAGGAGGATCAGTAGAAATTGAAGATCCTAACAAGGACTTGTAGTAAGAAACTAGCTCCTTGACAATCTTTTCACCCTCAGTAATCATCTCACCATTGTTGTTATACAGGACCATAACTCTATTTTTGTGCCTGTTGTTCTTGACAATAGAATGGAAGAAGTTTGTGCACCTGTCCCCTTGAAGATTCCAATTAATTCTAGCTTTTTGTTGGTAGAATGATAGCTCACATTCCAAAAGCTTATTGAAAGAAGAGATATAATCTTTCTCTTGGCATATAAGAGTAGCGTTAAGAGGGTCTAGTGATAAGGCCTTTTGAGCATTTTCCAAATCTACTTTAGCTCTCAAAACCTGTTCACTGATGTTACTAAAGTGTCTTCTGTTATGGTCCTTCAGAGCTATTTTCAGGAGCTTCAGCTTTGAACAAATAGAAAACATGGTGTGGCCATCAATGGAAGTATTCCAGATAGAAGACACTGTAGGCAGATAGTTTGTATGTTTGATCCACATCTTAAAAAACCTAAAAGGCTTTTTACCATGCACTTGATCCTCAAAAATTGTAACAAGTACAGGAGAATGACCAGAGAAGCTAGGTAAAAGGAATTCTGCTTGACTTGAATTATAAGTGTTAATCCATTGATCATTCACTAAAGCTCTATCTAGTCTGCTCAAAACTCTGGTAGTAGTATCTTGTTTGTTATTCCAAGTAAAGAAGCAACCAATGGTTTTCAGATGAGTAAGCTAGCTATTATCAATGAATTGATTAAAATCAAAAGTATCAGCTTCAGTTAGAGTTGTACCACCCAGTTTCTCATCATCAGTAATCATGGCATTGAAATCTCCACACAACAACCAAGGCAAGTTACCTGAAATTTGCTAAATCTGGGAAAGATCAGTCCATAGCAACTTCCTAGCTTCAGCTTGATTGTATCCATAAACTGAGGAAATAATGCAATTAAGCCTACCATCCAGGGTCTTAGCAGCACAGGAAATATGTTGAGCTGAAAAACAGATGATTTGGACATCTTGTACGTCCGTTGTTATTGTGTAATAACAGGTGATAACCCCGTTATTGAAGACCAATTAATGATGGTTGAATACAATCATAAAAGTCCTCATGGTGGGTAATTAGTAACCCATCAACGATGATGCTTTCCCTTCGTTGATGAACAAAATACGGTTTATAAAACCGCCATTATAGACTACAAATTTTTAATATACATTAATGACAATCTTTCCATTCATATGTAACTATCATATAATTCTCAACATGACACTAAGAGTCACAACACAAATATATTAAAAATACCCAATAATGAATAAAAGAGAAAACAAAAACTCCATTCATTAATAATATCAATAAATAAAATTTCACCATCCTCAAATATTCAATACTAATAACAAGAGTTAATATTCCAATTATTCTACAGAAAAATATGTGAAACTATCTAAAACAAATTAAAATAAAAATCTGAAAAAGGCACATCATTTCATCTCTAATCATCGTTAAAAGAAAACTCGAGCTACCCCCTCTCCTAATCTTGCATGGATAGTCTGAAAAATTAAAAATTCACATAATTAAGAAATATCAATTAAGCAAATATTATCTTATTAAGTAAAAATCGCATTTTCTCTACTACAAGTAGTCAATCATAAAAATATATAAGATATTTTATAAAAAATAATTACCTAGTCTTGCACATGTTCTCGAGTTTGAGGAGTCAATGAAGATGGTTGCCTTAAAAAAAGTTCCCGCATAGGTTTTGCTTGTGACTCTAAGTCAGACATCCTTTGTTGTTGTTGATTTTGTTGTTGCTCCTGCTCATCTAAGCGTTATTGAAGCATCTGGTTCCTTCTCTTTTCTTTTATAACTCGTGCTTCCAGATCAGATCGACTAGGGAGCGGTCCTCTCAAATCTTTCAAAGTAGTCCCACCATCAAATACAATGATGTGACCATGAGATAGCATCTTTATTAGATTACTAGTTATTTCTAAAATGAACAGTAAATATACGATATTAGCGACAAAGTATAACAGTAAATATACGATATTAGCATCTTTTATGATATTCTGCTCAACAAATATGAAATATCTAAGGTTAATAATGGAAAAGGAAATAACTTAGCTTTCAAAATTGACACATTCGTAAATAATAATCTAGTTTATTAAGTTTTCCAAGCAAAGTAAATCTCCATAGATACACATATACTTACAGTACTAAGTTATTTAAGAGCATAACTAAAAAAATTAAATTAGATAAATATTTTATAGTATATATAGAGAGTATAATTATTTTAATAGTATTACTTGAATTAAGAATTATAATATTAAATAAGGTAAATAAGAGTAAACTCTCATGAACTTTCAGCATTTTGTAGTAAATAGACCCTATATGAACTATCGAAATCTCATTAAACCCCTAATAACTATTAGGAATCTTGACCCCAAGATTAGTTTATTTTGATGATAACAAATATTATATGTTGTGTGTATTATGTGCTAACATTTGTTTTGTAGTATCAGAGCTATATCAACAATTATATTCAAAGAGATACTCAAGACATAGATGAGTTCAAGGCAAAATGAAGCAAAGAAGAAGATATACTTTATTGTCAAAATGTAATTTTATATTTTCTTTGCTTAGAAATTTGTACAAGCCCTGATCACTCACACACATTCACACACATAGTGTTAGAACACACTAACACATGCTTAGTGTGTTGGTTAACAATAGAAATTCCCTATGTTAGCCATTAGAGTTTATAGATATCGAGTGAGTCTTAAAACATTTTATTTATACCCCTTATTAATTAGAAAATCTGGAAAAACTCAAAAGATCAAAGTTGTAGGTCTTTTCAAGAGCTTTTCAATAAATCTTAAATCACCTCATTCCGATATCGGATGAGAAATTTACAGTAAAAATACTAAAAAAAAATTTTAGAATCTGAGTTTACAGTGTAGTCGACTACTATGTCTTGTAGTCGATTACTAAGTAATTTTCTAACTTCACAGAGTCTGTTTAGACTCAGTGTAGTCGACTACTATGACTTGTAGTCGACTACAGATACGGTTTTTCCAGATTTTAGGTTTTAAATAAGTGACTGTTTATAGCCGTTTTGTGGACGTTAATTAGGTTTAAAATTATGTCATTTCAAAGGCTATAAATAGGTTTAAACATCAGAAAACAAGTACCAATTTTTGCACTTATAAGATTCACATATTGTGCAAATTAACTCTCTAAACTTTCAGTTTTTCAATCTATTTTTCTAAAAAAGAGAGTTTCTGATATTGCCTTTGTTCTTATCATTCTTAGAGCTTGTTTAGGCAATATTCAGAGTTAAAAAGATTGATAAGCCACTGTTATACATTCACATTTATATCAAGGCTTATAAGATTGAAATTATACATTGCTTCAAAGAAAGGTTCTCTCGGTTTATGAGAGGGGTTGATCTCTTGGTCTAGAGATCGGTGTGACGATTGGCATGGTCTTGTCAATTAGGTTTGCAATTTGCATGGTCTTGCAATTTGGTCAGGTTTGCTTTTGATTTTGTAAGGTTTCAAAATCATAGTGGAAACTCTCAAGCGGGATTTGCTTGGGGACTGAATGTACACCGGGGAGGTGGAACCAGTATACATGCTTGTGTTTGTGATGTTCATTTTCTGAGATTGTCATTCTTTCTTTGTAATTTATAATCTACTTTGCAAACTCACCCTCTAGTGTTTAAGTGTAAAGCTTCCGCAGATTTTTATAAGAACGCACTTTATTATTAAGGGTCACGATCCTACACTTGGTATACATAAGCAAAAACCGGACCCTACATTTGGTATCAGAGCAAGGTGAAAGATGGCATCAACAAATACATCACAATTCAAAGAAGGGGTATCAGAGCAAGGTGAAAGATGGCATCAACAAATACATCACAATTCAAAGAAGGTCATTCTACTAATCGTCCACCAATGTTCGATGGATTGAACTACAACAAATACATCACAATTCAAAGAAGGTCATTCTACTAATCGTCCACCAATGTTCGATGGATTGAACTACAACTATTGGAAGTGTCGAATGGAGATTTACCTTCAATCAATTGGCTATGAACTTTGGAGCATTGTGGAAACAAAATATGAGAATCCAACCACTCCTTTCACGAAATGGACTACATCTCAAAGGAACAATGCAAACTTGGATTTTAAAGCAATGAATGTCTTATTTTGTGCTCTTGACAAGAATGAGTTCAATTGGCTGTCAACGGCCACATCCGCATATGATATTTAGCACACACTCGAGGTAACTTATGAAGGTACAAGTAATGTTAAAGATACTAATAATAATTTTATTTGTTATGGTTGCAATAAGCCAGGACATATGAAGAATGATTGTTACCTTCTAAAATCAATGTCAAAGTCTACAAAATTCAACAAGAAAAGGAAGGCTTTGACGACTACATGGGATGATAGTGATGATTCGTCTTCGGATCAAGAAATCAAAGAAAAGGAAAGCGCTCATATGTGTTTTATGACACAAGATGAAGTAAGTGACAATGAAGTGCTTTTAGATGCTTTCAATGAATTATATGAAATATTTTTGAGATTAAAGGCTTCACATAATTTTCTTAAAGGTGAAAATAAAAGATTACTTGAAGAAATTTCTAATTTTAATTCTTCTACTATTTCTTATTCTCAAGTAATTGAATTAAAAGAGGAAAATAAATCCTTGCTTAAAGAAAATCATATTTTGACTAATGAGAATGTTTATCTAAAATCAGAATGCAATGATTTAAAAATTCGCATTAATGTTTTAGATAAAGATATTTCTTCTATTAAATTAAAATATGATGATATATGTTTGAATGTTAGTAAATTCAATAAAAGTAAAGAGAATTTGAATAATTTGCTCTCATTTCAAAAATCTTCAAACAATCATTTTGGCATTGGATTTGTTCCTAAGTATTTTACAAAGAATGATTATGTTTTGAAGAATAATAATAAGAATATTCATGCTAAACAAAATAAGTATATATGGATTCCTAAGAATTTGAATATTCATGATAGGAATGATTATATTTTATCTTATATGTATGAAGTTTGCAATTCAAAGAATTACACTTATGTTAATAAATGGAAACCAAATTCCAAGTGGATTTGGATTCCTAAGGGCTAATCCTAATGATATAATATAAAAGGGTACCAAAGTGCTTAATATTTTTATTACGGTATCCGGGAAAAGAAAAATTTAACTAGAATTATGTTTATTTCTTTTTGTTAACGACAAAGGGGGAGTTATATATAGAAAATTTTAAATTTTTTACTAATGCTTTGATGCAGGGGGAGTAAAAGATTTTATTTAATGATTTTATGCAGGGGGATTAAAATTTTTATATCTTAATAACATATATTTGTCATCATCAAAAAGGGGGAGAATGTTAGGAATCTTGACCCCAAGATTAGTTTGTTTTGATGATAACAAATATTATATGTTGTGTGTATTATGTGCTAACATTTGTTTTGCAGTATCAGAGCTATATCAACAATTATTTTCAAAGAGATACTCAAGACATAGATGAGTTCAAGGCAAAATGAAGCAAAGAAGAAGATATACTTTATTGTCAAAATGTAATTTTATATTTTCTTTGCTTAGAAATTTGTACAAGCCTTGATCACTCACACACATGCACACACATAGTGTTAGAATACACTAACACATGCTTAGTGTGTTGGTTAACAATAGAAATCCCCTATGTTAGCCATTAGAGTTTATAGATATTGAGTGAGTCTTAACATTTTATTTATACCCCTTATTAATTAGAAAATCTGGAAAAACTCAAAAGATCAAAGTTGTAGGTCTTTTCAAGAGCTTTTCAATAAA